ATTATTGTGTAAAGCTAATTATGAAAAGTTCTTTATGACAGAGTTTTGTCAGATTTAAATTTAAAGTTATTTTATTTCTGAAGAAATTTACAAAAACACTGCTAGACTATAACAATTTAAAAAACATTTACGTCATATATTATAAAATTTAGAAAATGCTAAGTCGAGATAATTTATTTTAAATTTAATTCGTTAGAAAGCTAATGATAATTTACTGTGTTAGTTTTATTTTACTAAGTTATTTAGTTCTTATAAATTTATGAAGCCAATTGGCTTTAATTTAATGAGTTAATTGTAAGTTTTATTTCACTAGGCTAAAAAAGACAATTGTGTTGGTAAAAGTTTAAATTTATCAACTTACCGTTCCATTTTTGAAAACTTAAAATAATTGAAAGAGACAAAGAAGTTTTGTTATTTTTGTTCTGTTATCTACTTGAAGTTGATAAATTTAAACTACGTATCTTTTAAATCATTCATTAAAATTATACTACATTAAAGCTTATTTCTATTGAAGGTATTAGAAATTACAAAACGAAATCAACCTAGTCAAACAATGTAAAAATAGAAAGTTTAATTTTTTCAGAAACATTAAACAAAATTTTGTGACATTAAATAAATGATAAATTAAGTGCAAGGAATGAGCAATGCTACTAAAATTATCATAACAATTACAAAATTAGTTATTATATTTAATTGACAATAGCAATTCACTTAACAAAAAAATTAAGTACAGCTTCAGAATTGGGGCAAAAATATTAATACAAGCGTTAAAAAATTAAACTTTTAATCGTAATTATTATTAAACAATAAATAAATATTAAAAACTAATACTTAAGCTTACACATTAAGTAAAAAATACATAACATTTAAGTACAGAATGCAAAAAAATAGGAAACAAAATGTTTGATACAGTTGAAAAGCTCTTAACAAAGATTGATTATTAAACTCTTTCAGGCCTCATTCGATAAGCTACTTTTATCGTAATTTTAGCTAAACGAATATCTAGCTATGCCATGCTAATTATTATTTTGTTTAGCCATTAATATTTAGCCATGCTTTATGCGAATTACTTGTAGCAGATACTGTCAAGAGAAAATTTCATATTAGACTTAAGCTAACGTAACTAAGTATTAATTAAAATTTTTAATAACGTTTTGAACTCAAAATCAATTTTGTTTCAGTACACAAAATCATTTAAAATTTTATTTTAAATTAGAGTTTTGGTTTTTTTAAGCATAAGCACGGCGTTATAGAGAAAAATAAATACTCTCCTAAAACAAAAACTGCCTCAGTGTTGAACCATAATAACGGTCACAATAATACGGTATAAACTTGCTTTAATCTTCATAGAATGAAAATTAAACTATATTTTCGTTAAAACTGAGCCGTAGTATCATCTCATAAAGTTTCAGAAAAGCACCAAATTAAGTATCAGCTCATTTAAACAACGACAACACGGTTCACCATCTCTCTAAAATGTCAAACAAGACCTGAAAGTGTAGAAAAAACAAGAAGAAATATTTGAGCTAATAAGAGTCTAAATAAGACACACTTTTAACGTAACCTTTTTCACAATCTTAACCTACACATTACATAGAAAGAAATTCACACTGTTAGCACTTCCTTTTGATTGTAATTTCACTTCAGGCATTTATATTAAAGTTTATATTATCCTCCTGGATCATGTGATAAACCGAGAAAAGTCTATAAATGTCTTACAGCGAAGTGGTTCCCCAGAAGTTGCTGCTCCGTTCCATCATTTTTGGCAAGTTTGATTTTCTTTAAATTGTTCACAAAACGAATGTAACTATGAACAATCTTTAACAACAGAAAGAAGAAGGTTTATATACATGTATAAATGTTTTTAGTGAATAATTAAATCGTCCGAATTCAAAGAGAAGGTACAGACGAACTTGCTTATAGTAATGAGTCCTAATTTAATAAGAACCTGGATTCAACGAAGATATAGGAAATCCTTGTTAAATCTAACGTAGCATAGCTCATTTTTAACGAGAAAATCCTTGGTTTTAGCGAGGAAACTACAATTAATAAAATTTTTACATAATTCCACTTCTCCAGCACAAATAATGTCTGCTTGGAAAAATACTTTTTTGATGTTTCTCGGGTTGACAAATTCCTTTTTGATGTCAACAATGCTTTTCGGATCACGAGTCTTATCCATAAAAAACAATAACTTAATCAAGAGACAATAAGGCAGTTTAAAGCAAATTAACTAACTTCTTTTGTACTGCACAGAAATAAAAAAAATGAATAGAAAGTCCAATATCTACAAGTTAGCAAGTATATATAGAAAATATTGCTATACATACAATATTGTATGTTAGTACGAGCAAACATTGCAGTCCCTTCGAGCTCATTATAAGCGAGTTCGACTGTATGTTTTCGTTTTCTTTTTGGTTAAAACAAGCATTTTTGGGGAATATGTGTTAGGTTAAAAAGAAACAATCTTTACAAGAAGTTTTATTTTGCATCTTGTTGGCAGTTTCGAATTCAATGCTGTTGTAATTTAAAACTTTATAAGATTTACTTTTAATCTAGAAATAAGGATACTTATTTATAAAACTATATAATCGTTCACACTTGATAATTTGTAAATAGAAGAAGTGTATAGTTTTTATTGTCAGAGGCAAAATGATAGTTTGTGATCACCCTCTCCTTTTAAGCATTTAATTATGCAGTCCTTTTATACATAAAATTATATTCTCCCAACTATATCAAAACTGAAACTATTGGAATCTACATCAATGCCTTTACTCCAAAAAAATAGAAAAAAACTTTATTAAAGTCATATTTTCTCAAGTTATATGAAGATATTAAACACCCGATTTTGCTTTTATAAGCTATAGCGTAAATATCTCTATACGAGTAGCTTAGGGAGAAAGAGGAGTAAAAACACTTGTGTAAGTAGTAAAACACATAGGAGTAAACACACAGGAGTAAAAACACAAACATCGCACACAGTGGTGGGGGGGGGGCAAGCCATGCCACTTTATTTTTAGACTATTGAAAAAAAATAGTTATTAAGCATATGAATAAAATTTTAAAAAATGACTAGGTGAAACAAGAAATAATGGCAAGAAAAACTTAACTTTAAATTACTTATTTCCTAATAAAATAATTTAATTATTAATTTAAATTATTTAATGTCCAGTGACAGGACACTCTTATCGCAAATGCTGAGATTATAATGACTATCTGAAAATCATAAAAGAATAGCAGGTAATGAGTTTGCTGACATTGTGGTCAAGGCTGGCTTTGACCATCCTCAACCTGATTCCATAGTTTTTTTATAGCAGAGATTGATTCCGGATTCAGGGATTTGAGAAGAAACAGAGGTTCGCTGAATGAAATTCTTTCCTACCAGCCCAACTATCATTCCCAAATCACTTTTAGAAGGAAAAAAAACAAGGCTTAACAACCTCACTAAATACTTGCACCGATTCAGTTTAGCAAATTTCCGTAACTTAACCTCTTATGTAATATTAACGGCACGTGCGGTGACCAATTGTTCTAGTCTTGAAGGTGCAGCAAAAGCTAATATTGTAAAAAAAAAATCCTTGCAAATTTCAAATTTCTTTAAACCTGCCCATCATGGCTTGATAGCACTGATGACAAGGTCTAGTGTAGGATGAAAACGATATTGGAGCACCAGAACAAATCAATTCCTCATTATTTTGCATTGTCAAGTCCTTATAGTTTGGCATCTTTACCACATTAGTATTAATCAGAATTAAAAAAATTCCCTCTCTCTGATGACTACTCATTAGCTGTAGTTTATACATTAAAATGGCAAAAAGCTTATGCAACAACAACAACACAGCAATATGGCACTGGTTGGTTCATTATTCATAGAATGACCTAGACATCCAATGATTTTGCAAACAGGCAAATTTAGGATATTTTTTTACTTCTACACACCGTTTCCCAGCCAATACTCTTTGTAAAAGGAAATAGGTGTCTCATGGTTATGCGATTTACCCTCTATCCACACTTTTCCTCTCTACTTTGTTACCAACTTAAGGGAATTCTCATTCTTTTTACTCTCCGCAGTGTGTTTTAGTAAGAGGTTGAAATATACTGGCAAAGGGGACGACTAGATATACTGGCAAGGGCTAGATTTACGGATACCATAGTAACAGAGAGGGGAATGTCCGGAGAGTGGGGAAATCAAGCAATCTTAAGCAGCCTATTCTACACTGGTGGACAAAATTAAGAGATGGAAAGCATTTTCGCACATTTATTCGCACATGTAAGATACCCGCACACCGCTCCATGAGTTTGACCATGGTTCCGTAAATGCCCAGAGGTACAGGCAGGAGGTTTTAGAGCCTGTCTTTTCAGGGGCGCTGTTGGCCCTGAGTTCCTTTTTATGGACGACGATGCGCGACCACATAAGGCTCTCATGGCTGATGAGTATCTGGAAAGCGAGGATATTCAACGAATGGATAGGCCAGCCAAATCCCCTGACCTGAATCCCATTAAACATGCTTGGGATGCTCTTGAGAGCTATTGCGATGCGCCAACTTCCCTCCAGAACCATTCTGGAGTTAAAAATTGCTCTGGTGGAAGAGTGGAAGGGTCTTCCACAAGTCCTCCTTAACTCCCTTATTAACAGCATGCATACTCGTTGTGCATGCTGTCTGTCTGTCAGGGGTGACCATACACCATACTAGAGGCAACACACACTGTACAAGCCTCACTTTTATCGTCATCTTTTATCCTTAAGTTCAGACTACATTGGATTTTTTGGCAATAGGTCTTGCCAGTGAATGGCACTTTCATTTTTGTTTTGCATACTTTATTATCATGGAATAAGCTATATCCATACCAAATTTCATTTATTTATTTTCAGTATTTTTTGAGATATTTGGGAAAATGTCTTCCATCTCTTAATTTTGACCACCAGTGTATTTAAAAAGAGTATAATAATATTTGAAACTGGTCTTCTAGTTCTGAGAAAGACTAAACATCTAAATAAGTCTGTGTGCAGAACTTCAAAAGTGTTTGAGTATATCTGCTACTACTAACACAATAATGAAGACACAGTGCCTTACTCCACTTTACCCAAAATCCGTTCCAGCATATAAAAAAAATTAGTTTTTCAAAGAGTGAAAACATTTTCTCTGAGAGAAATTTTTTCGAAGAATCTCAACAGGTAAAGTATTTCACATTAAAGTATTCCTAAACTTTAAAGAAACAAAAGAGCAGGAATCATGAGAAAATATGACCCATACAGTTGCATAGATTCTGAAAAAAAGTTAAATTTTCTGAAAAGAAGACTCAATTTGTGGTTGCATCAAACAGAAACTTTTAGGGGAATTTGTTTAAAAAAATACCCTAATATTTTAATTAGGGCCACATAGGGTTTTTCTAAGGGTTAGTTACTCTAATATTCGAAGTAAGGCAAATGAATTAGCTAAGCACTGAAGAATTAATAGATTTTTTTAATAGGGAACAACTTTGTTTATGCAAAATATATATGATCACTAAAAGAAATTTTTTAAGAAAAAGAAAAAGTTTTTTCCCCATATGAATTTATAAACTTCGTGCCGTTATAGCACAAATAGACTATATCGATTTTATTTATTTAAACCTTCAACAGAGTTCTTGTAAAAAGAAATATGCACAAAATAAGCTAATTTACTTCATTACATTGCTATTATTAAAAATATATCAAATCCAGTTAACAAACTGAAAACTTACAATTCAAATGTTTTTTAGAAACCTTGCCTACCTGATTCATATAAAGCTTATTTCTTTAGACAAACAGAAGCAGTTATAAACAACACCATTTTCCGTTAATTGTTAACTTATTTAACCATAACTTTAAACAGCAAAGCATCGTTTATACGTCTTTCAGGTGAAAGATAAAAATCGATTAATAAATGAAAATACGATTAACTGAAAAGTGTAAAAAAATAATCGAAATTTATCGTAAATATAATAATTTTGGTAGCTTAATAACATTTATAATTTGGTGTTTATAATTGATACATAAAACAATAGAGCTACAGTGAAACCTGTCAAGTCGACCACCTCTTAACGTTGACCTCCAGTCAAAATTGTATTGAAGTGATTTTGAATGCTACTCTAAACCCTTCATAAGTTAGCCCACAAAAAAAATAATTTTTAGGAAATTTATTATGCTACTATACTATGTATTAGAATTTCACTGAACAAATAAAGTGCTTTAGAAAGCTAACCTTAACCCCTTTGTAAGTTGACCATGAGCATATGGTAAAACTATTGATGCTCATAAACTTTACACGCTTTCTTATATATATTTAAGAATGACATGGTATGGAAAAAGGATTCATAACCTTCTATAACTTGACTACCTGTCTACAGCTGACCAATAAAGCAATGCACCACCTGTGGTCCAACTTACACAGATTTCATTGCATTAATAATTATAATTTTAAAACAAATCATCAGTTAGAAAAGGGGAAAAAATATAGTTTTAACTCATATCTTGAGTGCACAAATTTATACAGGAAGACGAAAGTTAAAAAAAAATCCAGGCCAAACATGTATAAAATAACAAAAAACGACGTATAAAAAAATTTGAGCTTTTTTCCAATGTTTAACGGATTATTTTAATAAGAGATAGATTAAGAATGAATTGCGACGGCAATAAAACGATGTATAAACGAAAAAGACGCACAATTTTTTAACGTATAAACAGTACTTTACTGTACTTCATTGTACATCCTATAACATAATACACACACATTGCATATAAATAACGAATTCCATATTTATAAATCTCCTTATTTCTATCACAAAACAATTCACTCAACTATTTTGAAAACTCTTTTTTAATTGAATTGGCTACTTAAATGAATGATAGATGATTTCTCAAGTGCTAATTCTTAGGGTAACAAAGAAGGGTTCATACTTTGATCTTACGTAAACTCCATCTTCATTAGATGATCACCGAGTGTTTTATACTTTTCTTTAATGGGTGCTCCGTCGAGATGAATGGAAGAAAAATATTTTTTTATTTAAAAAAAGGAAAAGAACACTTTCGATGGAACTCCTTGGAGAACAGCACTCGCAGTTAACTGCTAAACTTCACTCTTATTTATTTTAAGAAGGAAAACTTAAATTGAAGGTTATCTACGAGGCTCTTTAATTGGAAGTTGTAGTTTTAGAGGGTCCCTGAGCCTACGCAAATCGTCTTCTATGTGGTAGATTTGATCCTTGAGGGCGTTATAACGTTTTACGTCCCATCCACCTTTTTTGGCTGATTTGTGGAAACCAAATAGAGTTTGGCGATCACATACGTCCGGAAGTATGTACTCCTGAAATTTATAAAGTGAGAGAGGGGTTAAAATCATCTAACTTTTTTATTTAATACTCTCTTAAAAAATAATATGAAATATAAAACCTTATCACTTCGCTCATGAGCTGAAATAGTAGCACAACTCAAAAAACACGACAAAGGACGGGTATAAATATGAAAATACACATTCTTTCAGCTGCAATGCTAGCACAACTCATAATTCTACTTGAAGATAATCTTTGTTTCAGCAAACCAAAACATTTCTTATGCAGTTTCCTTAGGAATCATGATTTTTTGAGTTGTGCCGCTATGTCAGCCCATGAGTGACTTAGTAGTTCATAAAAATTTATTCACTTTCAATTAAAACACAGTATTATTTTTTCAAATATAATTATTTCTTTAAATGCGTTGAATGCTCCATTATGAGAATGCTTAGGAAAAAGAGCTAAAAATTGAACAGAACTTTTTTTTATGCAATTATTCATCCCGGTATCATTCAATTTTTCACTCAAAAAAGCTGTGACATAAAAAAAAAATCTACTTTTTCTAATTAAGTGACGAAAATATCAGTCAATCTTAAAAATAAATAAATAAAATAAAATAAAAGCAAGATCAATTAGCGTTGAACAACAATACAAAATTCTAAATAATATTTTCAGATAAACAAACGACTTTCAACGCTTATCGTAATTTACAAAACGGTCCCAATACTAATTTAATGTTTCGATGCATTATGGAAAATTTTTGAAAAAAAAGGCCTGAATAAAATTTATAACTTCTTGTTTTCAAATGAAAATAATTTTATAAAAAAGCGCGTGTTTAATAACTTTACATAGAAACGAAAAATAATAAAACTTCCTGCACATACTGCTATACTTCTATTTATAATTACTCATATAAAAAGTTTCCCAAATGATACGAAAAAAAATTGATGTTAGTTTTTAACATTAGACAATTTTACAAGCCAGTTCTCAAAAAATATTAATTAGTCATTAAAAACATACGGACACTTCACATAAGGTAGAAATAATAACGTTAACAGCAGCTAATTATGAATTCTATTGATTCACTACTTATGGAATAGAAATTCTTCATTACACAAAATTAAAATTATCATAACAATTTTCATAGAATTTCAGGACATGAGATTAGGTTAAGCAATAAATTTTAGATTAAAAAATATCGGCATTAGTATTCGCTAATTTTTCTCTGTTCAATCCTATACTTCACGTGTAAGAACAACAGAAATATTTTACACAAACGCAAGAAAATACTTAAATATCCGAAATATTGTTATAAGGATGGATTATGGTAAGTTTTAAGGTCAAGTGCCATTGCCCAATATGCATTTAACCAGTACTCCGAGCACTGATGCTTCTCCTAACTTATCCTCAGCAGATATTAAAATATCGAATAAATACACCGAAGAGCCATTACATTATGACCACCCTCCATCTATAACAATGTGCTCGCCCAGGTTTTCATGGTTTCTCGCCCAGGAACAATGTTTTCATGGGGCACATTAGGACCCATAATCCTCATAGAACAATCCCTGACGTCTGTAAGCTACTTGAACATAGTTGCAGACCAGGTTCACCCATTCATGGCAACAGTTTTTCCTGCGGGGGATGGTGTTTACCAACAGGATAATGCACCCTGTCATAAGGGTCGAATCGTCGAGGAACATTCCAGTGACTTTCAAGTCATGTCTTGGCCCCCAAATTCACCTGACCTTAATCCAATAGAGTATTTGTGGTCCTACTTGGAAAACCAAATACGTGCTGCCACACTACCTCCTCGCAATGTGAGGGAATCGCAGGACCAGTTGGTGAGCGCTTGGTACCAGATACCTCAGACTACCTATCAGCACCTTGTGGAATCAATGCTACGGCGGGTGCAAGCAGTTTTGAGGGCTAAAGGTGGTCCTACATGTTATTAGCAAGGTGGTCATACTGTAATGGCTCTTCGGTGTATAATAATATCAACGAATAAATTAATATCAAATCGGATATAACAAATATTTTGGACATTCACCAAAGTGACTATGTGATTGTTGACATTCACAGGTAAAAGTCGACATTCTCTTGATTTCGGTCATTCACGGTAACATCCTCACCTTTAGAGAACTGCCCATAGGCATGAAACACATTGAATAGTAAATAAAATTACCTGTCTGGTGAGCACAAAATAGGCATACATGGCTATCGTTGTTCCATAGGTGATAAAATAGGTGACGGGTTCCATGATATCCCACGAATACTCCCACCACGTGAGACGAGCCAGCACTCCAAACTGTGCCCCCATCAGAGCCAGACCGAACCAAGACAGTGCTGTAGAACGTTTTTGAGCTTTCGTCAGAAATTCATCTCGCTTCTGTAAAAACAATCAACAACACATAACATTTAATCTTTAGGCTTGCTAGTTCAGGCCTCCCATAAAAATCATGAGGACTCATAAAAGATATTTAATAAGTCTCCAGCAAATTAATTAATGGGTTTTAGATGTATGTAAACAGAAAAGGTAGAGCTTGTACATAATTAAACCAATGAGCTGCAGACGCACATTTGCTTGTTGGGGATAAAAGTGCGGTATCTAGAGGTCTCTATCAAGCTAGCGTCACTTATCAGCCTACTGAATATTTATCAATGATCAATCAGTTACAAGTAGCAACCAATTGGAATAAATTAGGACTCCAAGAAAACGTTTCATTTCAAAGTAAAACAATGTATACAACTGATTGCTATTTAAAACCAGAATATTATATTGGTAATTTATTGAATGATAATAATCACGTCATAAGATACAACCTCTGACTTGGAAATCATCTAAACGGATGAAACCAGAGAGAAATATATAGTTTCCACACTAATATTAGTGCATCTAATGAGGCGACACGATTTTTTTTCTCAATTCACCAAATGGTTTTAGTGCCTAGCTATGCAAAAAACCTTAACGGCTAGCGAAAATTGATGTATTAATCGTTTCATTTTACTATTTTTAATTCAATTTACGAAGTTCATTATGATCGTTTGGCTATTTGTTTTTATTTTAATTTTATAAAATACTTAGATGTTCATTCTTTAATGATGCAACGAATTAATGAAGACACACGATTACAGCCAACTTCATCAATTCAGTTGAAATTATTAAATAATAACGATATACTCATCAATCTAACTAGGTTTTAACCGTAACGTGATGCTGAAACCAATTGGGAGAGAGTGTCGCTTTAAATAAAATAAAAAATGCGTCGCTCTATATATAATCTAACATTAGAGTACAATTTCTTAAGCAATCTTTCGCGGATGAAACGAATTTGCATGTATGTGTAACATTACTTGATCTCCAAGGAACTTGGAACGGACTAAAAACCTCGTAAAATAGAATTGGTTGGATGAACAATCCGCACTTTAGGCAACCATTGTTACACGGTTTTTGGGTGGCTGCTAGGTTCGGATCACCGCAATCTGAATCAAGCAAAGTTAAATAATTTTTATTTGTTTTGAACTGAAAAGACAATGAATTCTCGCCAGGCCATTAAAACGGCAATTTTTAATAAAAATTCAATTTTTTAATAAAAAAAACTAAGAATTTTAATTTTTCAACAATAATTTATAATTCAAACGAAAATTTGATTTTTCTAACAATAACATTAGAATACTGTGTTATAAATATCAAACTTTCAAAAAGAAATTTAAAGCTGAATCTTATTATCTCTGTGAAACGAGAATTCATGCTAATTTTAACAAAATCACCGACTCAATATTATAGCTATAACTAATATTATGGCTTTTTTTTAGACAACTACAATCCATCCAAGCTTAAAACAGGATTCCTTACAAATTGTTTTAACACAAGAGCTACTTTCAATTTTATTAAAGCATTTTTTAAGTAAACTACAATTGAAAAGCTTGGAGCGATATAGTGACAGGCTTCCCTTTTTCAAAGGGTATAATTTTATTTTTTTTACACCAAACCTTTATTAGTATTTGTTTTAATTTGAGTATATTTGCTTCCCTTTCAAAATTTCCTCTAGCTAACAAAAAAAAACTTTTAAGTCGTGGTGTTTTTTTTTAATTACAAACGTTCTCAGAACAATTTGAAAATGCGGCTTATCAATATATTTCCCTAGGCTCAATCTATTTCTCAGAACAATTTGAAAATGTGTCTTATCAATATATTTCCCTAGGCTCAATATATTTCTCCGAACAATATGAAAATGTGGCTTATCAATATATTTCCCTAGGCTCAATATATTTCTCAGAACAATTTGAAAATGTGGCTTATCAATATATTTACCTAGGCTCTTCAGTTTAATAAGATACATGATTAACATACCTTTTCTAGTGGCGTCAGTTCTTCCTTCAGTTTTTCTAGCTCCCCTAGTAGCCTATTTTCTATTGCTAATTGATGCTCATTTACATTTAAAGCTTCATATAGTTGCGCAACACGAGCACGCACTGTAGATAAGCACTCTGTTTCCTCCGAAGGTAAGTTCTCTAGAAAGAAAAAGATTCTTCACGAGAAGGCATTCATAGCATTTTAAAGCGTTAGGAAAATGCATTTCTAGTAGTAAATACAGTTAAGAGTCTCTGTTTAACACCCGTTTTTACCTGTTCAGAAACATACCGCAATGATGCCATTCTCTCACATATAACATCATATCGTATACGAGACAAGCCTTTCCGACACCAGCAGCCCTTGACTACATGGACGTGCTTTCAATTTGAAACATTTTATTTCAATTTTTGAACACTAGATGAAGATTGAAATCTATGATAATATCTTACAGGCGTTGAAAACTGATAACTGTTATAAAATATAACGATGAATTCAACATATCTGGCTAAATCCACATAATTAAATTTTCATTATTATTATTATAGTTAAAAGTAGCAATTGTGTTAATTTCTAATTAAGTCGGTTAAAGCCGAGCACTCTTTCCTGAATATTAAACTACTGAAAATAATAAAAAAACATAATATATAACAGTTGATGGCAAAACTACGGCCAAGAATTTGACTTCTGTCATGCACTTACGNAACCTTTGGCATTGTTTTTGACAATTATGACAAATCAATTATTCAAATTTTGACAAAATTATGAAATTTTGAATCATGTAAAACGAATGGCGTTTTCATACGCTACGGACTGACAATACGTCGAAATAGATAGGGGTAGAATGAATTGTGAAAACGTTAAATAGAACAATGTGAACTGTGTCTTTTAGTTATAATTCGTAGCGAAAATCAACATAGTAAACGAACAATCTCATTTTGAAAAAGGGAAAATTAAACACTTTTTAAAAACACCCAATGAAAAAAAGCACCTTTAAAGGCTTTTAAAAGACAAAAATCGAAAAGAAGCACCTTTAAGTACTTTTCAAAAACGCTACGCACCCTGTTTATATTGTGACTAAGAAAGAAAAAGACAAAATGCTGATTGGAGCCGTGGTGACTCAGGAGATAGAGCGTTCGCCTTTCAATGAGATGAACCGGGTATGAATCCCAGCGATGGCTCGTCAATGCGAATTTCGCACCCGTCTCGCACCGACAGCAGTGCTGACGTAAAGTATCCTCAGTGGTAAACGGATCATGGGTTAAAGTCCCCTTATCGTTAAAGGAGAGGTTTCCGTGGTTTTCCTCACCATATAACGCAAATGTGGGATAGCTCCATCAAAAAGTCCTCCACGAAGGCAAATTCCTCCTAACACTTGATCCAGAAGTTCCCTTGTCTTCTGAATTGGGTTTTAAATTACAAGGCTACGGAGTTGAACATAAGTAGTCGTAAACCCAAAAAATTGGTTCGGCTGCTCAACGACGGTCGTAAACTGCTGATTGGTTTGTGTGGGGAGTTGAATTCTGCCACCCAATTGACAAAAACAACTTAAATTCTTCTCAACAAATTCCTAGAAAAGTAGCTTGACAACTTTTTCCTCTCTATAGCTAACGCTATGAACGCTAAAACAGAAGTTCAGAAAACTGATAAAGCAAAATTTATTTTTGACAAAAATGTTTTTACAACATGTATATGTTTATCATACAGAGATGGCAAATATATTTAAATTTCAATTTTGAATTTTTTGTCACTTACGTTGATTTCTTCCCCCAAAAATGTTGTAATTCTCTTACCGACCCTTGCATAAAAAATTTAAAAAAAGATTTTAAAAAAATCATTTAAGAACGGGCAACTTTTTCTATCAATAAAATTTTTATATATATTAATGAAAAGAATGTGCATGATAGCGCTTAGCTAGATTAGCACTGTTTGGTTCCAAATATGTAAGCTTCAGCCTTATATCGCCTCGTAGCTTCATAGTTAAATTATTTCTATACATTATTAAAACAGAATTAACATGGCACTGAAGCCATATTTAACCATACATGAGCATGGAAATGAAATGAAAAAGGCAAATGACAACCCCTGGGTTTAAAAGATTTTCTTTAATAGTGTAGAAAATATTTTAACAACTGATTTAAGAAATGTAAAGGAAATTTATGAAGACATTATAAATGTAAACGACGAAAAGAATAAACTGACTTTAAAAATTCAATAACTTTTATTATGTAATTACAACTATTGCTATTGATGTTTTAAGAGGATAATTAGGTTATCTAATATGGCTTCTTTAATATGCTGAAGGAAACTGGGGGAAAAGTCATTAAAATGAAACCGAACAATTTTTGTGTTCATTTCTTTAATTGATTTCATTCTTGTACTATTTTAATTTATGTTTGTTAGTCTTTATTTATTGTATAATTGCAATCTGCGCTATTAAAAATTTTTAAATTAAAGAAAATACTTTTCATCACGCTAAGTAATTCCGTAATGAACTAACAACCCTGAGGCTGCAAAAGTTTAAAGGGAAAAGCTTTCCAAACATTACTTTTCCACTAATTGTGTTTAAGGGTGATTTTTCATGGTGACTACAAAGTCGTTTTGCAGATAGACAACTTTTTTCCCATACAAGGGGAAGTAAGTGTCCCCTGATGATAGTGGCGACCGGCGGGGATCGAACTCACAACCTCTTGGACATGGACCCAACGCCTTGACAGCCAGGCTATCCCGGCCTCGAACTTGGTTATTATGCGGATAAATAAAGTTACATCTTGATGTCTTTTTATATATTTACTTTTTATATATTTGTCTTTTACTTTTGTCCCCAGTCACCAGGGGAAATTTATTTTCAGAGTCATCGTCCCATATATGTCCATTTGACAACACAGAAGAAGTTCCTCATTTACATAAAATGAACAGTTCCTCCATAAATTTTAATAAAAACTAAATTATGTCCGAAAATTTATTATCTATCAAACGCCATTTCAGTATAAATTATATTTTAAGGAATGTTTATTTTAAATAATATAAACTCAAAGCCTAACACTATTTCCATCAAGTAGTTTCTAAAAACACTTTTCATATTTTAACTTAATATTACAATTTAATTATTTCTACACTAAGTAATTTCTGACTTTCTGGGCAATGGTTGTTATATTACATAAGTAGTAGCATTTTACTTCAACTCATCTTGGATAAAATAATTTGCAAAAAGAATCTTTTGACACCTCAAATAATTCCATAGCAGTGTCTAATTTTAAACGATTTTGCCTACAATCATCATAAATATATTTATTGGTTTTAAAATCTGTTTACAAAATTTAAAAGAAAATATACAATCCAGCTATCACCAGAACTCCTCCGTGCTCGCGTACTGGTGGTCACCGAGGTTACGAAAATAAGTCACATGAAATAGGGGTCTACCAGTAGTTTAAGTAATGTTATTTCATCAAATTCTCATCCGTAAAAATTGCTTTTATTCTCGTTTCCATAGTATTTTGAGTCTAGAGCTGTTCTAGTGGTAGCTGGATAGTAAAATTGAAAATATACAAACCAAGTAAAGGCGGTTGAACTAAATAAACTATGTCGTTGATAATGAGATGAAAGTCTTCATTCATGAGGGAAGATATAATTGTGGATGAAGCGATTCTCGTTCCATCTATAAATAATGCATAACATATGTTTAATGTATATAGACTGATGCCATTACATATTTCCTAGCTTTTAAAATTTCTTTTAAATCATTAGTTTAATTTATTTAATCATTTTTAATCTAATTTTTAACAATTATTTCACTTTTATTACATATTATGAAAAGCAAACATAAATATTCCATTCTTAACGGCCAAATTTTTAATTCAACACAAATGTATAACTGAGTAATTCACTGTCGGGACTGAATCGAACATCAAATTCTATTTTTCTCTCTTTATTCCTTAGGCTACTTTATTTCTCTAACCACAAAAATGTTTAGGGTTATATTAATTTCTTAAGGTCTTTTTGATGATTAAGCTATAGCTAAACTATTTAAAATTTAATAATATCAATAACGCGGGTTGGCTTCGTTTTCGGTTATTTTATCTTTCGATAACTATGGATCTCTTTCCCTACTCCAAAGTGTCCGTTTGGAACAATTCAGTCACTTTTAATTTTAAATTCTTGGTGTTACAACAAGGGATCCCCTCTGCAGAGGATCAAAATTGTGATGGCATGTCTTCGGATCATCCTCAGGCCGTCGTCAATAGCCCATTGTGCAGCTCTAGTGCGACGTAAATGAACAACAACAAGTTACAACAACGGGGGGGGGGTATTATTATTTTTTTTTTGAATTTATTATTTTTAACGTTTTATATGTTCACTAAAAATGGTAAATCCTTTTTACTTTGGAGCTCCATATTTTCAAAAATAAATATATTTTTTTAGTATTTATCAGATTTGATTCTTCACTACATCCTTACACTCTGGACAAATAATAAGACGAATGGACCATAACAATTTCTTAAAATGATTCATTAACGTATTCTTTCATTAACTCCGCTTCCCACGAACAACAAAGATTCTTCAACTTGCGCTAATCATCATCTTCTGAATAAACATTACATTAATACTGCCTTCCTCCAAGTACATCATCAACTACATCTACAGCTGTCATCAACATCAATCATCAACAACTTCAATCAATGGAATTTCATTATATAGACTATTTGATCAATGGAACTGGGATATAAAAAAAATTGAATGCTGCCAAACATTTTTAAAATTATATGGAATAATAAATATCTATGCTGTATTTTCAAAGTATCTTACAATCGGGTATTTATATTATCTTAGTGATAACTTTTACGCTTAATAAAAGAAAGTTTCACTAAGTTTACAATACTGGATGAAACTTCGATTTTTCGTTACCCGATATCAGGATTCTGATATCAGGAGCCTCGTAAGAAAATTACGTGCGGAAAGGAAAAGAAATATTAGTTAATTTGTTTAAATATCTATGTCTATATTTATATCTATATTTAATAAATATCCATGTTGTACTTTCAAAGTATCTTACAATCGGGCATTTACATTATCTTAGTGATAACTTTTACGCTTTATAAGCGAAAGTTTCACTCAAGTTTACAATACTGGATGAAATTTCGATTTTGCGTTACCCGATATCGGGATTCTGATATCAGGAGCCTCGTAAGAAAATTACGTGCGGAAAAGAAAAGAAATATTAGTTAATTTGTTTAAATATCTATGTCTATATTTATATCTATATTTAATAAATATCCATGTTGTACTTTCAAAGTATCTTACAATCGGGCATTTACATTATCTTAGTGATAACTTTTACGCTTTANTGTTACAACAGGGGGGGGGGTATTATTATTTTTTTTTACTTATTATTTTCAACATTTTACAACACTAAAAATGGTAAATCCTTTTTACTTTGGAGCTCCATATTTTCAAAAATATTTTTTTTTTTTTTTTAGTTTAAGGGTCATAATATAGAAAATTNTTTTTTTAGTATTTATCAGATTTGATTCTTCACTACATGTTCACACTCGGGACAAATAATACGACGAATTGATCATAATAATTTCTTAAAATGATTCATTAACATATTCCTTCATTAACTCTGTTTCCCACGAACAACAAAGATTCTTCAACTTGTGCTAATCATCATCTTCTGAATAAACATTACATTATTACTGCCTTCCTCCAAGTACATCATCAACTACATCTACAGCTGTCATCAACATCAATCATCAACAACTTCAATCAATGGAATTTCATTACATAGACTATTAGATCAATGGAACTGGGATATAAAAAAATTGATTGCTGCCAAACATTTTTAAAATTATATGGAATAATAAATATCTTTGCTGTATTTTCAAAGTATCTTACAATCTGGTATTTATATTATCTTAGTGATAACTTTTACGCTTTATAAGAGAAAGTTTCACTCTCAAGTTTACAATACTGGATGAAATTTCGATTTTGCGTTACCCGATATCAGGATTCTGATATCAGGAGCTTCGTAAGATATATATTAGTTAAATTATTTTTTTAATGAAATGGCACTGAGCGTGCCAATTTTGACTAAGAAATTATCCCGACACGGAAATTTCGAACCGAGCATCTAAATTATAACCTTTTGATGTAATCGATTTTGCGCCGATTTCATCCTAAATTCACGTGGCATTACAGCAGTCATTGCTACGGATTCCCACATGGTTTAAGCAATTCCAATAACTTCAATACGATATTAATACAGCAGGTAAATTTCAAATCACATGTTTGAATAATAATTTTTTGACACACACATTTGATTTGCCCAAATTCCATCATGAATTTACTTAATTTTTCGATCGATTTTTTTGCAGTTCATAATTTTTTCCTAATATAATTTTTAAAGTCTTTATAATACGAAATTATTAAAGTAAACGCACACTTTGAATCGAGTATTTGATAAATAGTCATTCAATTCTCGATCACATTTGCTCAATTTTGTGCCGATTTTATCATAAAGCTATGTGGTTTATCGATCGCTATTCCGCAGTTATTGTTGCAGATTTATCCAAGACCCTTTACATCCGCACAAGACTTATAATTAAGATTAGCTTATTGGTATTTTGGCACTATATTTTAACTCAATAGTATTAGAAAAAGCGAAATCAGAAATTCGAAATACGCAGCAGTGGAAAGATAAGGAAAAATAGAGTGGTTCCCCCGATGATTGTTCAGAAAGTTCGAGTTAAAAAGTTCAAAATTAATGTCTGCTCTCAATTCTCAGACAGATTTTTTCCCATCTAAATACTAAAATATTAAAAATGTCAAGTCATACTTGAAAAAAAATACCTAGTCACTAAAAAAAAGATTAGTCATTTTTTAATTCGAAATTAGGTTGTACTTAACTTATGCACTTTTTTATCATTTGGCATAAAAAAAAAAAAAACAAATTGCAAGTAAAACTAATCTTACAAAAAAAATATGTAAGTTAGTTCTTATGTCCGCTTCAATCAATCTGTCCACGTCGAACTGCGATGGCTCAGGGAATAGAGCGTTCGTCTTCCAATGAGATGAACCGGGTTCGAATCCCTGCGATGGCTGGTCGATACGAATCCTGCACCCGGCTCGCACTGACCACATAGCTGACGTAAAAATATCCTCAGTGGTAGACGAATCATAGGTTAGAGTCTCCTTGCCGCCACGCTAATTGTGTGAGTTTTCGTGGTTTTCCTCTCCATGTAGCGCAAATACGGGTTAGTTCCCTCAAAAAGTCCTTTATGAAGGCAAAATTTCTCCCATTACTTGATCCTGGAGTTCCCTTGTCTTCTAGATTGGGTTCGTAATTTACAAGGCTATGGCGTTGAACATTAGTGGTCATAAACCCAAAATTGGATCAGCTGTTCAACGACGGTTATAAAATCTGTTTACTTCTTTTTTCTTTAGAAGTCGAATAAAAATCACGATACATCGCTCCCCACTCATAGTTCCAATCTTTTTTCCCTTAATTTCTTTTCTAAAAATTCATCTAAGCAATGTGTAACAAAGTAGGAAAAGTAAAGTGCATCCTAAAATTTATCTTAATTTAATTCTTTTTCATAGCAACATTACACATGAAAGTTATGTTTTGTTAGGTGGTTCAAACAGCTCTTTCAGGAACGAAGTTAATCCTATTTTTTTAAGGAGAAAAATTGTTATAAGCTAAGAAAGAATTCTTGTTAACTAACTAAGCTGTTAGTCCTTCACAAGCACAGCAGCTCTTTGTGCCTACATTATTAATATTCCCGAATCAATTATTCAGTCCCTATGTAAAAACATATTATGGAAATATTAACAAGACCCTGTTTTTACGAGATTATTCAGAATTATTTAAAACATTTTTTTTTCCTTCAGAATGTTTTTTAATTTATACCATATTCCATCTCCAGAGATCGATGAAACCCTAACTGATAGAAAATGTACGACAAAGTCATAAAACTTCACTAAGAAGATTATGGGTGCACTAAGGATTAACATCCGGGGTTTTACGTAAAAGAGGTCACATTTTTCTTTTCTTCTGGTGCAGGAGCGTGAAACCATCATAAAGGGTTTAAGAGCTTTTTAAAGAGGTTTCGGCTAAAAGGCTTATTTCAGATCTCATTAAATGGTATAAAAAATAACAGCCAGCGAGAAATTTTTTTGAAGAGTTATTTTAATGCACAAACTAAATTACCCAATATCCACCACCTTTTTTAAAAGGTTAATTTATTTAATTAAATTAGGATATTTATAGTTTAATTTACTTCTAACCTCATTTTACATTTCTAGATGAAGAAAAAGTTTTGGGTGAAACCTTAAAGTGAAGTTACCCCAAGAAGTGAAAAAAAATCACTTAATGACTCGATGTTCTGAAAACTGGTTCTACAATGAAAGACTGCAATCATCTTAATAAACAGTGTTAAAAGAACTGTACAGAGAGCCAAAAGAAAAAACGGACACCCAGAATAATCTATAGATCGTATTTTCAAGATCTAGAACTTAATCTTACTGGTTATCGAGATGTAGCAAAATACGCAAAGAGTAAAATTAACATTAAGGGGTCCAAACTTTGGATCGTTCTCCTGACCAAACCATAGGGACCATATTAATGGTGGCTACCCTATATATTTTAGGAGTCAGAAATCCGAATCCATTGTCATCAAAATTTACAGAATTTAAAATGATGTCCTCGAGATATGGTGAAATACGCAAAAAGTAAAATTAACGTTATGGGGTCCAAACTTTGGATCACTCTCCGGACCAAATTACGAGGATCATATTTCCCAGATTGCGGTTACCATCTATATTTTGGAGTTCAGAAATCCAAATCAGTTGGGAAAAAGGTATGTTTATTCAGAGAAACAAAGTTGTTGTGTCTGATTTTGTAACTTGAAATATCGCCTGCACTGATTAATCAACATATTTGAGATCACCCCTTCGAACCATTAAGATTGATTCATAGAACGGGAAGATCCGATCATTAGATTAAAAATTATTCATGGTAAACCGTTTTTTTTTTTTTGTGCACTGTACATCGTGAATAACTTTTGATATACACTGATTAGCCATGACCACATGGCAGTTTTACGCAAATTTGAGCTTTTGCGTCACTGTGTTGCAGCTAGAGAGCGAGATAGCTGCAAGAAGGAAATGCGAGGAGAATGAACTATCAATTGCACTGTGTTAAGCGAGGAGATATGGGCAAAAAAAAACGCTGCTTAAATGAGTTTAAAATCCGGGTGATTATAAGCGCTCAAAGCGTCGGAACCAGTATCAGCAAAACAGCCGCTTTTGTGAAGTGTTCGAGAACAACAATTATTCATGCGTACAGAGAGTGGACTAACAAGCCGAAAACTAGATCTCAACGTCAGGCTTGTGGTTGTCACAGGTTTCTGAATGCTCGAGCTGAAAGGAGACTTGCCAGAGTTGTCCAGTCCAACAGAAGAGCAACAGTGCGTCAAATAGTGGCGAATCTTACGGAAGGTACAACTAACTGTAAACGTCTCTCAACGAAATTTGCGCCGCACAGGCTATTAAGTCTTAGAAATATCTAAGATATCTGGCTAACATAAGCAAGAATTAAAAAAAATCTAATGAGATAAATTAAAAATAAAAAGAACGTGACAATTTATGGAACATCAGAGAGGTGCTGATTTTTGATGAGAAAGTTTTTGTTTTGAATTTAAGATTCATATACTAACCCGTTACGGGATTTTCCATTTGTTGTTTTCTTTGTTGATGTGTGATTGTTGTGTCCAATAAATGTGTTTTATAAGAAAACTGTTTCTTCAATATAGCTGCTATCGTTACAAGGCTATGCGAGCTGACGACCTGTTCGAAAGCTTCTATTGTCAGCCTTGAACAAGAGCAGACGCCGGCAGTTTGAAAAGGAGCATAAGAATTGGACAGTAGATGACTGGAAAAGGGTCATGTGGTGTGATGAATTACGTTTTCAACTATACCGTGCAGAAGGCTGGGTTTGGATACGGCAAAAACAGCACGAAAGCATGGACCCTAACTACATTGACACAATACTTCCAGCTGGTGGAGGTAATGTTAGGGTTTGAGGGATGTTTTCTTAGCATTGCATGGATTATTTGATTCTTGTGGAACAACGTCTAAATGCCCAAGGGTATTTAAGTGTTATCACAGATCAAGTACATCATGTTATGTTAGTGGTGTACCCTGCCGGGGATGGATACTTTCAGCAGTTCTCCTTGTCATACAGCTCGGATTGTCGTCAGATGGTTCGAAGAACATGACGGTGACTTTACCTTGTTTTGTTGGCCCGCACAATCACCATATCTCAATCCAATTGAGAATTAGTTGGATGCGACCGATCAGGGCATCAGACAGCTGGATCCAGTTCCATCCAATCTGACGGAACTGCAAAGTGCAGTTCATCGGATATGGAATCAACTTCCTTCTACCACCTACCAACATCTCATAAAACCTATGCCAAAAAGAATTCGAGCAGTATTATGGACTAAATTTAGTCCAACAGTGTATTTAAGGGGTGGTCATAATAATTTGGTCACTCAGCGCATAAATCGGATTATCTCGTACTAAGGTTCAATCTTACTGGTCTGAAGGTCTCTCTTTAAATATACTAACCAATTAATGCAGACGACATTTTAAGTTACGAAATCAGACACAGAAACGTATTTTCGCTGAACAAACATTTTTTTCAACGGAAACTATGGTGGATAACCACAATCTGGGAAATAGTTTCTCAATAGGAGAGCAGTCCACAATTTGGACACCTTACTGTTAATATCACTTTTTGTGTATATCACCACATATCAAAAGCTTTTTAAACGATTTGAAAAAATTTTGCGCTCAATTATAAAATTCGTTTATTCCAACATAATTCAATGCAAAGAATAACTATTCATTTTTTTTAATAATAATCTAAAAAAATATTGAATCGTATACAAATTTTTACATCATTTTAAAGAATGAAAATTTTAAATCGTAAAATACAAAAAATGAATGGAATCTGTCAAATAGCTCCAGAGTTAGCTAACTTTAAAAAAGTCGAAGATTTATAATTCATTTTTCGCGCAGTAGAAAAAAAAATGGTACTAGTACCTGTACTTTGAACGATGACCCTGTCTATTCCTTTGTCTTCTTTCTGCAGATCTTGCACAAAATCAGACACTTTGGAAGTCACAGGCTTCAGAGTAAATCGGCACTTCTCACGTCTTGAAGGTAGAGGCACCGTTATCACAGGCAGGCCGCGACTATAGTACACCGTCACCTCTTTTTACCACGAAAAAAAAGTATATTACCATTAAAATTACACATAACTGAAAATACAGTCAAGGACTTGACATTTTTCATTAAAAAAATTTTCAACACAAGTCAAGAACTTAAAACATTTCCGTTACACAATTATAAAAGCAGTAAAAGATGTAAAGCTATTGTAATTACTGTCAAGAACTTGATTAAAATATTCAGATTAACAATTATGAATCTAATATACATAATTCTCTTACGTGGCTCCCAAATTTTGGCTGTATTTCTTTTCCGCCGGTGGCAACGTTTGCTTTGTTTTGTCTACATTACTATTTCTCTTACACGGCGAATCGACCCATGATTGCCGCTAAAAATGTCACATACCAAATCTAGATGAGGTGGCTCAACATATAGCGCTTTTAAAAACGGAAACTGAAATAACCAGAGAGCATCAGCTGCGGCAATCTCATACTATTAAGCTAGGCAGAAGTGAGTAGTCTTTGTCGATAGATCTCTATTTTAGTATTTTGTCGAAAGCGCTTTTTTTCATTTGACGATATTTGACGATTTTTGATTTATATCACGAATTATACTATAGCACATTTCTAATAGGTTTAACGAATTACATGTCATTCATTTGAATTCAAATTTATTTTAATGACTTAGTCTTTACTAAAAAGATGGTAGATTACTAAAAGATTTTTTATATGGATTTGAATTATTGTTTTGAATTCTTAGAATTTTGTGCATTTGCAATGTACCTAAGTTAGTAGCTTGGTTTACGAAGCAAACCATATAAGACTGCGTAGCAATTTTCGGGGGTTGGAGATCGTAAGCGAGCAGGTGGCGCAGAACACTAGTATATAATAATTGTAATATATCTCAATTGCATATTGATATGTATACTTTTCTGGACCCAAGTGTGTATACTTTTTTGACGAAATCTTTGAATAAATTTTTCAAAATAAATATTTATGGTATAAATATCATTATTTGTTATATATAATTTGATACTACGCAACACACATATATTTATTAAATATATCAAAATAAACATTACGGAGTGCTAGAAAATAGCTTTCATAGTGGACGAAAATGTATTACGTATTATCATTAATATTAATGTATTATTATGTTAATAAACTAGAATTTATATTGATTGATTGAGTGTAGAGTTCAATGGCACAAGGTCCAAATCAGGACATGCTGCACCAAACAGTACGATAAAACTAGAATTTATAAAAAAAAAATTTATTATTACATATTAAATAGTTTAAGTAGATAAAATAAATAGTCTCGCTCTTAAGGGTAACAACACATTAGAAGCATATGGAAAAGAAAGGATTTTTTAATAAATTTTCCAATGATTGTAATTAATTTAATTTTATAATTTTTTTTTATTTCATTGCATATATGGGTGATTCTTTGGAAACATGACAATTCGGAAAAAAATTTACCTCAAATTTGAAGTCTTCAAAATAATCAAATTTTTTTTCGTATATTTACTTAGTTACATCTACAGACAGCGTAGTTTATTGACATTTGTTTAAAAAAAAAATAGAAATTCACTAAATTTTGAATGCCAGGAAAATGACATATTAGCTTAGAAGTTAAGAAAACAGTCATTCTAAGCTAATAGTAAGTAACTCAACTTAAGAAACTCAAAAAGACAAAGTTGAAAAGTTAATTTTAACTTTTTAGGCAAATAAATTCCAAAAATAGTTATTGTGAACAATTTGAGTATACCGTTTCTTCTCGGTATCTCGTTTTTTTCTCAGTTTAATTTTCCTTGATTCCTATTTCTTATAGACCTCAAATATATGTGAAACACCTTGCATTTTGCTTCATTGAAGAATAATTCTTCACGATATTAAAAATATCAGGCAGGTAGTGAAATAGTTCTAGAATTGTTAACATGGATAATTTGGGGGAATGAATAATTTGATTTTCAAATTAAATATTGTCCGTTTTTCTATTTTTTTAAAATGAATTTTAAAAATGTCCTTACCATTAGGCACAACAGCGTCAGTGACTGCTGACGAGGAGATGAAACGAAGTGAAGGTAATGATTGTTTCGATCGTGGAAAGTGTCGTTTATTTCTCCATTTCTAAAAAAAAGCATATATAAATGTAAAAAAATTACAAAAAATAAAAAATTTATGTAAATAAATAATTTATAAGAATACACCAAATGGTCGTCACTTTTAGTTGAAAATAATTCGATTTTATAAACTTTTTCCACATCTACAAAAGCTAAGAAAAGAAACTTTCAAAAAAAACATATCATTATTTAGTGAATATCTAAAATATCCGCCCTTAACGACTAAATTACTTATCCGCCCTAAATTACTCAACGACTGACCACAACATAACTGTATAATACCCTAAACCTAATACACATTTTAATAACAATTTTTTCTCTTTTAAAAAATGAGATTAAAAGAAAAATAAAGTTTTAAAAGCAATTTGTAAAAAAAAAGCAAACAAAATGAAGAGACTTTCTTGGTATATAAGAAGAAAATATGAAACTCAGTGGGAGAAAACTATTTACTCGAAAAGGAAAATTTGAACCCAAACCGTGAAATATTTTTTTTTCCATTTTTTTCTAGAGATACTTAAAAATTATGCCTAAAAGTTTTTCCGAAAGAAGTTTTAAAATTCTCAACCATCTTTATGTAATAAAAAAATAATTTTTCTTTTTTTTTTTCACACACCTGAAGAAGAATTTTCGACGTCTCTCAGTTATTGGATCAGTGAAGCTAACATACAGGGGAATAGTATTGATTATGCATTTGCTTCCATGAAATAGAAAAAAAAGTATATCTATACATACACTATGGATAGCATCATATATTACAGCATATTTAGTTGAAGCTGAAAAACTTCTAAAATTCGATAGAATACTTTTCAAAAATATTGATAAACTTATGGAAAGCACAAGATTTAAGTGAGGTAGAAAAGCTTCGAACTAGAAAATAATATTCATTCATGTAGTACAATATTTATTGCTGAGGAAAAGGGCAGAAGTAGGCTAATTTAAAAAAATCGTCAATTGTGTTGTTGTTGCTTGTTGTTTCTAATGCCACTTGCCACACGGGCAAGCCTGCTTGGTGAAACCGAGCAAATTTAAGGCAGAGTGTGCGTTTCTTGTTTTTCCGTGGCGCCATCTATGGCCAAGAATTCGACTTCTGCCACACCATACGTCGCACCCGTTTATAGGGCGGACCCATTCATACATCCATTCATTCATCCACAGATCGTAATTTTGACCTGAATCATAGAACGATCGATCTCTAATCCAGTACCCCCAGAGGAATTGATTTGTTATAGGAACATGGAGGACTTTTGCGACTCGACAGATTTAACGTGCATCAGTCACGTTACATTGATACCAGCGGGGTTCGAACTCACGAACTCTCGGACATGGGCCCAGCGCCCTACCGACCAGGCTATCCCGGTCTTCGTCAATTGTTGTCACTGCATTGAGCCAGGTTGCTTGGAAAAAGCTCCGCGATTTTTCCAATCATTTTAATGTTTTAGGCTAACTGCAATCAGACTATTTTAGACTGGTTAGAAACCGTTTAATCAGCTCAGAGGATAGAGCGCTCTCCTTCCAATGAGCTAACACCCAAGTTCGAATACCAGTTATGCTTGGTGGATACGAATTCTACTCTATGCTTGCATCGACTACAATGCTGACATTAAATATCATTCTCTTCGTAAAAAGTAAATGTTGGTAAGAGTAGTTTGTCCATAGGCTTGATCTAAAAGTTCTCTTGTTTTCTGGGTTGCTGTTCAAAATGACAAGGCTACGGTTGATAGTGGTAAGCACAAAAATGAGTCGGCTACTTAACGTCGGTTTAAAATAAAATCCTCTTTTGACATACGTTACACGAGTACAGGTATGAATTTACCATTCAAGTAAAGAAGCTTTTGTATATCTTACGGAAATTTGTTGAAAGATATTTAGATTTCAGTAAAAAGGCTTTTATGCCATCAACTAATTTTACTTCCAAAATAAATAATTTGATGTTGTTTATTTCATTTTATCACAACAAATAATAAAAATTTATCCTATTCTCAAAACTCTGAGACTAATATTTACAAAATGCAAATGTTGTCTTGCCGAAATGAAATTAATTTTAATTGAATAAAACCTTATATAAACTAAAAAGATTTTCACTTTAAAATAAGCTTTGAATTAAAGACGCTAATTAAAGAAAAATATCCGAAACTGCATTTGAAATTTTATTTGCGTATACAATATAATAATATCATTCATCATCAAATTTAATAATTACATTATCCCAGTTATTTTTATTTTGAGTTAAAAAAATTTCAAAATTAAAAAAGTTGAGAAACATTTTAAAATTTAGAAAATATGAGTTACTAAAATATACTAATTGCAAAAAAGGCTTAAATCAACAACTTAACAACTTAAAAATAAATGTCTGAGTAGGAAAAATTAGTCAATGTTGAGATGTTAAATGCATTTTTGTAACAGTCAACTCAGTATTGGGCATGGCAAAAATGTAGTTCCTATTTGATTTCTATTTAAATAGAATTTAATACAATTCAATATAAAATTGAATAAAATATTCCTAGGAAAATACACTTCTACACACTCTAATATACAATAAATAAAACATTTGAAAAATAAGAATATATTTAATTTATTCCCATTCTGACTAACAAGTTCTTTAATTACCTTGCTAAATAAACAAATAAAAAATATTTTGCAATTTTCAAATGGGATTTGAGTGAAATATGCAGATGAGTTAAATTGTAAGAATTTATTTCAAAGTAATAACTTTTGATGATCTCAATTATCAAATGCAAGTTCAAAGAAAATAAAACTTTTAAGGCATTCGCAAATTTGTAAGAATGCCCACATTAGTTTTATGAAAATATAATTATTACAGCGCGGTACATAAATAAAAAGCTAATTAATTTTGTAGTTTACGACATTCGAGCTTCTAAAGATTAATTAATTTAAATTATTAATAAATAACACTGACTAAAAAATTTTAATGTTTTTCCTGCCCTTTAGATATAACTATGTGATTCTGTATATAAAATAAAGGTTTTTCATACGTTATAGTCTGCAGGCGAAAATGTGCCAAGTTTCCAGCAAATTCTTGGATATCTATCTCACTCTTTAATGCATAGAGCCTTGAAGCTTCGATAAGGTAGATAATAGTTTCGTTACAAAAAGTTTTGTGAAAATTGTTTAAATGGTCGCCAAGTTGTTGGCTTTAACACTGCCAATGAAACTGCCAAAAATTTTGCTTGTGAGTTATAATTATGTGGTGCTATAAACTAAGTCACCAACACGTTGTAAACAAACAAAAAAAATAGCAGGTGTGTTATTTTGAGACAAACATAAGCGAAAAAAAGAGAAACTTTGAAAAAATTTGTAAGCAAAGTAACGCCCCTTTTTCATTTATATCAAAATAAATAAAAAAATTATAAGCAAAAATAAATATCATAAATGATTTTTTTTTCAAATGATGTATCTTCTTGCTACAAACAGAAGTCATTTCAAATAGAAGTTTCTCTCTAAATTAACAATTTGTAAGAGCCATCTCCATTTTGGTAGCTCAATATCGTGCTTTGCTGCGCTAACACTAAAAGATTATTAGAAACAAGAAATAACGAATGTCTGTAGGAAATTGTATGTGAAGTACAATAGAATAAAATTTAACGTTCGATAATTCGCTCGAGAATTATTGACTGTTAAACTTGTAGGCAAAAACACCATGCGGACGTCCGCTCTACCGGAAGCAAGAATCCAACTACTGCGTTGAAATTTGTTTATGAATTTAACACGAGTATTTTTTTTAATTCCAATTTGTTTATAAACTATTGCATTATTAATAACTTTTTAATGAATTTTTTTCATTATTTTTGCAATAAATAATGATTATTTATCTACTGCTGCCGAAAAATTTCTCTCTCTCGAGATCATCAGTTTATTAGCTCGCGTTTAATTTGACGTAAAAAGTCACAAAAAAATGGAGAAATAAAGATAAAAGTAATAAGAGAAAGTGGACAGATGTTGCCAGATATAAATGATAACATTTATATTACTAGTAGACAATATATAGTTACGACGAATAGTGAGTTTTCATTTAGTATGCAATATACATTACCCTGCAATAATGGAAGGGGCACTTTGTTTTGCTTTTTTAATTTCTCAAAAAAATAATTAGGACTATTTTGTAATTTTAGAAGTGTTTAGTTCATGCGATTTTTCATACTTCGCAGTAAATTTTAATGCTTTTAGGGGTTTATGGGACCGACACTTAATTGCGAATGAAAACAAATATTTTTGAACGCCCTAATGCCAGAAAATCAAGCACTAAGCTTGCAACTTGCATCAGCACAGAAATAAAGAGACGCATTATAGCAGCTAATCGATGCAGGCACTGGTTAAGAACATTTCTAAAGTCAAAATTAATGAGAAGCTGAACAAAAATAATGCTATATAAAACAATCATTAGACCTGTCTTAACTTATGGATCCGAAACATGGTCTTTAACTAAATCACAAGCAGACCTGCTGGTTGTTTTTGAGACTAAAGCCTTGAGAAAAATATTTGGTGCTATAAATGTGGATAACTTATGGAGACAACGACATAAGTCTGAACTATATAGGTTTTCAAGGAAGCTGATATCAAGAAGTACATCAAAATAAGTCGCTTACAGCTTGCGGGTTACAAACCAATGGGAACTAAAGTTAAAGAAGATCAGATGGCTTGACTGTGTGAAAGAGGATTTCAAAATCCTAAGAATTACTAGCTGGAGAACAATCGCAAAGAAAAGAGCAGAATGGAGGAATGTACTAGGGAAGGCTCTGGCCCACAAAGGGCTGTCATGCCAATAGAAGAAGAAGAATAGGATCTTTAAGAGACTTAAACTTATTTTCGTTAACAGATCTAAAAATAACTTTTTAAAAAAAAAGGCCTGATTCTTTTTCTAGTTTTGTTTCTCACCTTTATTTTCCCCTTTTTGCTGCCAACTTTAAGTTGAATATTTTAAATCACTTTTGTTTCTTCTCATTCACATCTGGTAAGTCATGAAAATGGGTGCCTATTTTTGAGCGCTTGAAACATGTTGACTATTATATTCAATCTGTTTATTTTCGAAGCGAACGAAGTTTATTAATAAGGTAATATCTTTAGTTTCTTAAGATTATTTACTTAATATTTATTTAGAATAAGAATCTGCTTCTTACCCTAGTTTCAACACCTAAAGGTCGTAGTCCCGTGTTTTCAACAAAACATAATTCGGAAGCCTACAAGAAATGAAAAAAAAAATCATTATTACAAAGAACATAATTCATCAACTATTTATTTTATCAAATGAAATTTTGGATTCATGAGAAATAAGGAATGAATTGGCAATTTTCACGATAAAAACATTCTATTCTATTTCGAATGAAAGCTGCTAAAGGTTTCTGGATAGCATTATTTAAAAAACATTCTTCACGTTATAATATAAATGCTTTTCATCAAATAAGAATTGATTTTAATTTGTCTGTAACATGTTGGATTATACACAAGCACGTTATTTGGCAATCAGTTGGCTATCTAAATTCCTAATTTAAAAATAAATAAATAAATTTTTAAAAAAAACAGTTTGCTATTCTGATATTTTACCGTTCCAAAAACACTTAAGCAAAGGTCTGAAAGCTGACTGAAGCGAGAAACGATGAAGATCGTCACAAGTAAACTTTAATTTATTCTTAATTTGTTTTTATGCAGTTTGTTGCTTAAAGGACAAAACTGTGTTTATTTGTTCTTTAAAGATTTATGTCAATACTGTACATTATTTCACGCAAAATTTTCTATAATAAAATAAGAACAGACTCCAACAGAAGCTTATTTTAATTCAAATTTAATATGCTTACCAATTGATTTGAATTTCAAGAATTGTAAAACGCTTTCCACACTTACGCACACGTAAAAAAATCTAACCAGGTGTTTCAAAATTATTTAAAATCTATAAAGAATATGTTGCATCTACTATAGAGGTAGTGTGGAGAATTTTAAAAAATAAATTTTGTACCTGCTTTTATTTTATAAATTTATCGTATAATACACTATGCTACAGATCGTTTACGTAGATTTCAAAATATAGAATAATAAAATAATATTTTCATTTTCAAAAAGTAGAAATAAGAGAAAGAGAAAACCACAAAATAAACAATAAATTCCTTTATGCTGTAACTTTAATATATTAATTTGTAATAGCCAAAAAATATCACAGTACGAAAAAAATCCTTCCGTTTTTTGTAAGAAGAGTGTAAGAAAAATATTTTGGCAGCCATTCCATTTTATAAAAAGAAAAAAAAACCAACAAAAAATAGAAGAAGGATTCTTTTTATTCTACTCATTTTTCAAGACAAAAAAAATGTGCCTAACAAAACATAGTCCATCCTGTCGGGCACCAAAACTTTTGAACACTCGGCCACCGTTCCTATTTTTTATTCAGTAGAATGATATCCAGAGCAAGAGTAAATAGCACCCAATTTTCCCCCTTTTTTTACCGAGCTGAATATGAAAGATTTATATAAAATCGAGACAGCTTTTGACGGAAACATTTATTTCAGGAATACCGAAAGAAAAGAGAATTTCAGAGAAGGAAAATGGCCCGAAAAATGATAGGGGGAGAATATTACGCAAAATTTAAAATTATCTGCATGAAACAAAACCTAGTTCTGTTTATATAAAAACATTGAAAGTCAAGAATAATTTTTTTTTATTCAAAAACTATCCGGCACCAAAACATTTAAACATTTTAAAACTTAAATTAAATAAGAATTCAACCTTGATAATCCCTTTACAGCATGAAAAACGACCTTCAGATTAAAACATGTACTTCTCGTATACTTTTGGATAAATAATAATCTGCAAGTATTATTATTTTACCACGTACTATTTCATCAAAATTCTAGATTTTAAATTGGATGTTCTTGGATGTTATTTTAATAGCACACCATAACAGCTTGCTGTAAAAAAAAGCTATGATCGGGGTGGTTAGTCCAATTCAGTGGTTAGTAGAGGTAGCATTACTTTAGTATAAAGAATATTTTGGCCGTATGAGATACATTCTAATTTGTTATAAAAGGATATTTATCCTGGAAAAATAAATTCATTTGAGAAAAGTTGTCCCAGTCCGATTACCAAGAATTTCAAATTAAAGTGAATTGTTCCCAACGGACAGTTAGGAGCATGAGAAGAGATCTATGGTTGGCGATTTATATTGTATAACATTTGTATTGAAATAAAAAGTTAGCCCTTACATTGATTTTTAAGAAAAGAATGAAATATTTATAGTCCCTGGTCAAATTATTAGACGCACTACAGTTTTTTTTTTTTTAATAATTACATGTTCTGCACGAGTTTATATGCAACGCTTTTATATTTAGACATACATATAATGGGTTTTCATTCAGAAGATTTTTTTATATACTTCCTATTTGCATTTATTTTTAACGTATTACATTACAATGTTAACACACGATATGATATGACGATATGACTGATACACGAACGTGAAAAAGTGCAAACCGGTTTCAGTCGCATTCTCGCTTGTGTCAGTTGCGGACGTGATTCTGTGGCTTTATGTGCTATGTTTATTTGTTTCACAGTTTTATACTATGCAGTTATTTGTTTATTTAATGCGCAGTGTATAAATAATCAATTGGAACAAATTTATCATGGATAAAAAAGGCGATATTTTACCATGTAATAAAGCTGAAGTAAAGGCCCGCGTGAATGCTAAAATATTTTCAAACCGTGAAATATCACGAAGATTGAAGGTTTCTGAGGCTAGCGCACGTCGCGCATAGGGATTTAACGGGTGTGCACGGTTTTTCGAAGTAAAATAATTAAAAATGCCTTCAATCGTACAAAAAATTTATTTGAAGAATGCATTAATGTTGTAAATATGGATGTGTATTCTACACTAGAGTGCGCTGCAAGCTCTTTACTGCCTATACTTCCGGGTTACTATTTCCAGTGTATCTTAAAGCCATTTGGCTCACTAAGTGATCATTGTATGTTGAGACTGAGTAGTATTTCTTCTATACGTGTATTTCTTACCTGATTTATTATTTGTGTTAAAAAAAAAATCGTTTTGAGAATCGTCATTTAAAGACCTGCCATTTCAAGACGTAAGAATCGTCATTTGAAAAAAATAATCGTTATATAACACTTCTTACCTTGTCAGCAATATACCAACTTCGAAATTTAAACCTAAATGATAATTTGTAAAATGAACTTAATCCCACAGCTCGAACAATATGCTAACACTATGATGGGGCATGGCTTGCAGCAAGAACAGTAATAAACAAGTAAAAAGAAGCCAAATCGGGACTGCCAACAAAGAGAGTTCTTTCTAAATCGAGCAACCATGTCACTTTTTTAGCAATACATCTATAAACAACTAAAACACATTTTTACCTCAAACTCACCGGAATTATTTGATATCATTAATATCTTATGAAATACAGAAGATTTGAACTCAGAAATTATAATTTTTTTTTATATTAAAAAAATTATCGATTTGAAAATATCGCCTCGCAGAATAAGCTGTAGTAAGCAGCTGTATACTTTCTAACTGGAAGTAGAGCAGGTCAAGAGCTCGAGATCGTTGTTGTTTACATTTATATTGAAAACAACATCAATTTAAAACAAATATCAAGAAAACGAGTTTTTCTCAATTAAATTTTTCTTCTATTAAAATCTCATCACTTGCTCTTCGCCAGCAAGAAAGAAATGTTGTCAAATAAAGCTTTCTGACTAGCAAAGTAATCGTTTGCATATCCGACCTTTTATGGCAAAAAGTATATATTTATTGTTGGAAGACAAGTTTTGCAAAAAGTGTTTATACCTTAAAAAAAACTTGCGAAAAGAATTTGTACTTGAAAGAAAAGTCTTGAGAAAAAGTGTTTGTAATTGAAAGAAAAGTCTTGTGAAAAAGCGTTTGTAATTGAAAGATAAGTCTTGAGAAAAAGCGTTTGTAATTGAAAGTGAAAAGTCTTGAGAAAAAGTGTTTGTAATTGAAAGAAAAGTATTGAGAAAAAGTGTTTGTATTTGAAAGATAAGTCTTGAGAAAAAGTGTTTGTATTTGAAAGAAAAATCATGAGAAAGAGTGTTTGTAATTGAAAGAAAAGTCTTGAGAAAAAGTGTTTTAAATTGAAAGAAAAGTCCTGAGAAAAAACTTTGTAATTGAAAGAAAAGTCTTAAAAAAAAATTTTGTAATTGAAAAACAAAAGTCTTCCGAAAAAGTGGTTGTAATTGCAAAAAAATATGTCTAGCAAAAAATGCTTCCATGATCAAATCATACCTTAAAACAATAAACCTAAAAATTAGAACCTCAGTTAACAATACTTTTCTTTTAAAACTTACATAAAAACAAAAACTTACTGCAACACGCATTAAAAACTGTGGTCTGAATCAATGATTACGGAAACAAATATTAATCGAATCCGAAGAAGAGTCAAATACTATTAAAAAAATCAAATTATGTCTGTTCCAAATAAGTTCTTCGTGACACAAACAGTAAAGCCATTTTCAAAACGTTTTCATTTCTGAATTCGTAATACATAAATAAACATAACTTTGATAAAAAAGTGTCACGTTTTCCCCATTTTCGCTTTTCAGTAGTTTTTTTCATAACTCTCAAAAATACTCCTTTCTTTTCTTCTTTGAATTTCCAAAAACAACATACTCGAGAGATCGAAGAGTCCGTGGAATGAATAAGATCCGTTGCCAATTGCAATAGACAAAAAAGAAAAGTTCCAATATTGAAAGAGTCACGTTTATTGGAGAGGCAAAAATATGAGGTGGCGGCGAGGATTCTCTAGATTTCTACGTGAAAGAAATAAGATTCTATTCTCTCAAAAAGAGAGCAAAAAAGTAGCGTGAGATAGGTCCATTCATTCGCTTTATTGCGTGAGAGAAAATAAAGCAGAAAAATGGGCACCTGAGATATTACCCGACACTTCAATAAAGATTTGGTTCACTACATTAATTAGAGTGATAATATGAGTGGATATAATTTGCTTCATCATAAGAGTTAAATCTATTTTCTAGATTAAGATCTTATGCAGACCGTAATTGGTTTTAAATTTGACAAAGGAGTTATCAGTTGGGTTAATTTTCAATAATACGATCATTTTTAACAAAAATCTATACCGAACATCCATTAAAATATTTGGATAAATATAAGAGTCACGTTTTTATTTGATTAAATGATTACGAAAAACATAAATATGAGAAGAGAGCA